GCACTTTTTCAAGAAAAGCGTTGCCTTTTCTACACGTCAATGGATTTTTTTTTATTTTAAAAATCACTGTTTTCCTAACGTTTTTTTGGTAAAAGCGTTGTCTATTGTGCATATTTTTATGAAGTGCTTTTGTTGAATACTGTTGCACAATTCTTTATAATTTATCACATAAACCTACTTATAACAATTATATTTTACACAAGTTTTTATTTCAACACTTAGGCCTTATATATACCATAACAATTCAACACATAAACCTGCTTATAATCATTGTAATTCAACACAAGCCTTTCTTTCAACACATAGGCCTTATATATATATATATATATATATATATATATATATATATATATATATATATATATATATATATATATATATATATATATATATATATATATATATATATATATATATATATATATATATATATATATATATATATATATATATATATATATATATATATATATATATATATATATATATATATATATATATATATATTATAATTCAACAGAAACGATCCATAATTCTAAAATATATTCCGAAATCGATAACTTCACAAATATATACACTATACATATAATTACAAATTCCATATTCCTGGATCCTCACAACAACTTCTAGAAGTATATCAACAAATTCCAAAACTATATACGACTTTCAGAACTATAATTATCCAGTAGTATGTACATAACATCACAACGACACAAATCTCTAAAGACCATAAACTCCAATCAAAAGATAGAAACACAATATACCTTATACAATTCTCATCTCAAGAATGTATTGACATCATTCCTCCTTAATTTTTTCCAATTCATCTTTCGAGTAAGTATCACACTTGAATTCATCAAAGTACTACATAATATAACATAATATGCATGATTTAGTTAAAACTAATTACTCAGATGAAATATCGGTTAAATATTAAAATAAATCATATAACTTATAAATCCATATCATGTTTGGAATCTCTATTTGACTCGAATGAATAATTTCCTTCATAAACTTCAATACAAAAATAACTGCAATCAATACCATTACGCTGACGAGGACATTGCACATGAAAAAAATACGAATATATATCAGGATATATAATTTAACTAGTTTTATCAAGTAGCATCACTATAACAATCAAAATTGTGAAAATATACATGCACTCTGATCCATCTAATGTTGTTAGCCTTACTCTTTAATACTCTTCCTTGTCTTTGTGATTGGAATATTGATATATCTCTAACATAATATAAACGAATATTTAGAACAATCTCACATAATAAACAAAGATAATTATTCAGAACAATCTCATCACTTACGTATCAACCATCTTCTTCATATCTGGATATTTTGTTTGATCAACATCCAATGAATCCAGATAATACATTATTTCTTTTATCGGATTAATCACAACCAACAACCAGTGTCCACTGTAAAATAAGACAAAAGTTTAGATGGAAATGTTATATAGAATGTCAAAAAAACGAATAATTATAATAAATGAAATTAGAATGAAATCTAACCCATGACCAGTATTATATGGCAAAAAATACAACTTTTTTGTATTTGTGGCCATAAATGTTTGGACTAAGTAATCTCTAACTATATCTGGAGTGTGATCGATTAACCGTGCATTGATACAGCTAGAAGATAAGAATGAGAATTTTTCTGTCAATTGACGTGGGACCAACAACTTGTCATACAATAACCTTAAATAAAAACATAATCAACATTAGAATATTCGTTGAAATGAGCAAATAAATTGTTTAATTATTTAATTAAAATTGATCGCAGTACCTGATGTATGAATGCATGACACCGATGCCTAATTCAGAATGTTGGAAAATCTGATCCAAATCCTCTTTAGCAATTGTTTCGGCATAAGCAAAACTGAAAATACCTTCATCCATAGGTATTTGACGAATATCCAAACATCAACAATTAATTCAATCAACAACATCAACAATATTCAACAATTAATTCAAGTTTCCATCAACAACAATATTAACATATATACAAAATAAACATACAAAATTAATTCATGTTTTCATCAACAACATCAACATCAACATCATTAACAACATCAACAACAACATTCTCGTTACTTAATTCAAGTTTCCATCAACAACAACAACATTAACCTATATACAAAATACACATACAAAATTAATTCATGTTTTCATAAACAACATCAACATTAACAACATCAACAACAACATTCTCGTTACTTAATTCAAGTTTTCATCAACAACAACAACATTAAGCTATATACAAAATTCACATACAAAATTAATACATGTTTTCATTAACAACAACAACATCACAATATTCAACAATTAGTTCGCGAATATTCAAACATCAACAATTAATTCAATCAACAATATTTAACAATTAATTCAAGTTTTCATCAACAACAACATTAACATATATACAAAATTAATTTATGTTTTCATCAACAACATCAACATCAACATCAACATCAACATTAACAACATCAACAACAACATTCTCGTTACTTAATTCAACTTTCCATCAACAACAACAGCATTAAAATATATACAAAATTAACATACAAAATTATTTCATGTTTTCATTAACATCAACAACATCACCATATTCAACATTAACATTAACATTAACATCAACAACAATCAACATTAACATCAACATTTAACAACAACATATATCAACATTAACATTAACATATTAACATCAACATATAATATTTAACATCAATATTATCTTCATTATTTCCACAACAAAAAAACTCAACAAACCATAACCATGAAAATGAAGAAAATGCATAAATATCTTGAAAATGGTGGAAGTGGTCGGACAGACAGAGGGATACGGCGGTCGGACAGACGGAGGGAGTACGACGGAGGGAGGCGGTGGTCGGACAGACGAACGGGGGGAGTACGACGAACGAAGTATGACGGTCGGAGACGGACGAGGGAGTAGGGTTTTGTCGTCTGAAATGAAAATACACGAGAGAGGGAAAGAATACACGAAAGAGAGAAAGAAAGAATATTGTGTAGTCTGAAATAAAAATGTTGTTTTATTTTTAAAAAACTAAACACCTATAGCAGCGCTTTTGAAAGCTTTTTTGTAAACCCCCCTATAGCAGCGCTTTCTCCTTAAAAGCGCTTTCGTAACCCCCACCTTTACCAGCGCTTTAGGAAATCGCTCTCTAAAGTCTGCCTAAGGCATGGCCTATATCAGCGCTTTCGTATCCCCCCTATAGCAGCGCTTTTAGAAAGCACTTTCGTATCCCCCCCCCCCCCCCCCCTTTTCAATTAGCAGCGCTTTCTATTGTATTGCAAAACAACAACCTTTAGCAGCGCTTTTAAGAAAGCGCTTTCTAAAGCCAACGCTTTTTTTCTTTTTTTAAAAATCTTTAGCACCAGTTTTATAAAAAGCGTTGTCTTTGCTGTGCTGCCAAAAATCATTTTTGGTGTAGTGTAAGCCGCTAACAATGTAAGGACATGTTTAAAGATTAACTAACTAACAATTCTTATAAGGAAGCATCGTGTTATATGATCAATTATGCCAATAGCTTCTTGAGAAATATTTTTGCCATGTAAAATACTTTTGGTTATTTTTATCAAGGTTGTCAAGATCGAGATCTTACATAAGGTCAAGAGAGAATATAAAGATCATAAAATATAAAATCGTAGTCAAGATCGGAAGATCCTACTCAATTATTTTGTAAGATCAAAAGGGGATAACAAGATCGTAAAACATAAGATCACAACAAAAATCGTAAGATCCTACTAAATGAAAAAAATAATATACATTTAAAATATTTTTACATGATATATGTTAGTAGACAAGTGTATTTTTGAAAAAATGACTCTTTCATATTCTTTAGACATGTATGATTGAGATTTTATTGAACATTTGTTAAAGTTTAGACATTATGGACATATATGGTCAATTACTAGGATTATTACAAGTCAAGTAGTTAAAAAAAACCCAAGTGAGAAGTTTATTCTATAAACCCTAAATCTATAACTTCATTTCAAAAGGCGCACATTCATCTCCACCGAACTGTAATCGTTGTGCCTTCACATGTTGTCATCCTTCTCACCTTTTAATGGTGGTGGCCGGAAAACGGTCAATCATGATCGAAGCTGGCAAAGATCGCACAAAATCAATAATTTTACAATGTTTTTTTCACAATTTGGCTATAACACCCAATTTTACTTAAGATCTGGATCGTTGAAGATGAATGAAATTGTAAAATTTTAAAATTTTAAAATTTAAATCGAAATCTTGACAACCATAATTTTTACGCAATTCATTGAATAAAATTGATAGAAAATAGCACAAGGAGGCAATGTGATATCAAAAACAATCCATTATAAATTAGGGATAGTATGTCAAACTTTATGACACATGGTGAGGACTAAAATGAATAAAAACAAAGGGGCAAAAGTTCAAAATATACTTTTAATATCTTCACCATGAGGTCTCCGCTACATACGTCCACTTTATTACACTTGTTCAACCAACTCATTTTCAGCCCAAGCCAATTGGCAAAAAAGAAAAAAAGTGTTCAACAAATATCAATGATTAAGATATAATGAAGCATATAGTATTAAATCAATAGTGTCTACATCTTTATTCAACTAAGAGACATGTTGGCTGAAAAAGTGTCTCATCCTCATCCAATCAAAACCTGTTTTAGACAAGTCTTACAAAAATATGCATTGAATATACAGTTGCCAATTATTTCAAAAGACACATGTGGAGAGAGCCTCATTAATTCTATTTTGTTTGTTACTCCCTATTCACATTCTCACAGTTAGGTGTCACACTATATTTTCCAAGCAGAACCATTTGCAAAAAAAGCCTTTTAAAGCCACATATGTGTCAACTTGACTATAAAGTTATGAAATGTCAAATCCTACTTGGCACACACACTCACATGCATCATGCATATATAACACCTAGATCTGATTCATTCAGAATCTACTACCACAAATTGAGAGAACATGGGTGTTTGTTATTCTTGCAATGCATCCTCAATATTAAAAAACATGATAAGAGTAGTTCATCTGGATGGTTTTGTGGAAGATTTTCATCAACCAATTTCAGCATACCAAGTTATTGGAAATCAACCAAAACACTTTGTTTGTACTTCAATACAGCTTCTTTCATCATCCTACAAACCATTGAAACAAGATAATAGTCAACTCAAACCTGGTCAACTGTATTTCATGCTACCATACTCAGTACTCCAAGCTGATGTGTCTCCTGTGGATTTGGCTTGCCTAGCCAAAAGGCTCTCTGCAAAAGCCAAAGCCAAAAACAAACCATGTAATTACAATAAGTCTCCAACAGTTATTCTTTTACCTTCAACGAGTCCTTGTAGAGTTGGGATGGAAGAGAAAGTTATGATGAATGGAGGAAGAAGAAGCCCTTGTAGAATGCAGTCATGGAAACCAATCTTGGAAAGTATAGCAGAGAAATCACTCAACAGGAGAAGTGAATCAGATTTGCAAGACATTAGTATTAATGTTAACAAGACATGTACGTGTGAATGATTTAGTTAGGAAGTAGGAAAGCCATAACATATTTAAAAA